CTCATGAACCTTTACAGGGGCATGGTCGGTGCCAACACCAACTGTACTCTAGCCCTCTCTTTGCCTTTGGGATCTATTTTTGCCATCCAAAAAAAAAAAAAAAAAACCACGACACAGGACAATACAAGATATGTTCCGAGGATGAAGGGCAGAGGATAAATAGATTCATTTCTGTCCAAAGACAGTACGAAGCCTGTTCTCCAACAAGACAAGATAAGCAAAGGCACAGAGACTGTTCTTGGGGTGATGGTACTATGGCCTGGTTGCAGCTTGGCTGCTAGTCTACAAATTGCGTCCAAATTACATTTCCAGCTCTGACTCAGCTTGAATATCCACCTCCTGGGATGCCACCAACTGGCTATCCTGTAGGTATCCTAATATGAAACTTGTCCAACTTGAACTCATGATCTTCTCTCCCAAATCCTCCTCCTTATAGTCTCCATCTTGGTGAATGGTACCACCCCTCCAATCAGTTCCCAAATCGTAGGAATTACTCTAGACCTGCACTGCACAGTATGGTCGCCACTAGCTACATGTGGCTATTTAAACTTAATTATAGGCTGGGAGTTGCAGTGGTTTACACCTGTAATCCCAGCACTTTGGGAGGCTGAGGCAGGCGGATCACTTGAGGTCAGGAGTTCGAGACTAGCTTGGCCAACATGGTGAAACCCCATCTCTACTAAAAATACAAAAATTAGCTGGACATGGTGGTGCATGCCTGTAATCCCAGCTACTTGGGAGGCGGAGGCATGAGAATTGCTTGAACCTGGGAGGCGGAGGTTGCAGTGAGCTGAGATTGCACCACTGCACTCCAGCCTGGGTGACAGAGTGAGACCCTGTCTCAAAAACAAAACAAAACAAAACAAAACAAAAACAAAAACAAAAACCCCACCTTAATTAGAATTAAATATAGTTCGTTAGTCACACTAGCCACATTTCAAATGCCTGGTGGCCACATGTGGCCAGTGGCTGTCATACTAGGTCGTGCAGACTACAGGACATTTCCATCATCACAGAGAGTTCTACTGGACAGTGTTGGTCTGGACTCCTCTCAGGCCCTCACCCCCGACTCTAACTTCTTTTTTTTTGAGACAGTCTTACTCTGTCGCCAGGCTGGAGTGCAGTGGCGCAATCTCGGCTCACTACAACCTCCGCTTCCCAGGTTCGAGCATTCTCCTGCCTCAGCCTTCTGAGCAGCTGTAATTACAGGCACCTGCCACCACGCCCGGCTAACTTTTTGTATTTTTAGTAGAGACAGGATTTCACCATGTTGGCCAGAATGGGCTCGATCTCCTGACCTCGTGATCAGCCCACCTCAGCCTCCCAAAGTGCTTCTTGACTCTTAACTTCTCAATGTCTTGAGTTTGTCCGCTTATCACCTGCTCATCTGTACTACTGGTGCTTTAAAGCAGGACTTCATTTATAGCCTATTATAACCATAGCTTCTTAAGTGGTCTTGCTACTTCCTTTTCATTCTTTGCCAAATAATTCCTCACTTCTGCTAAAGAGATTTTTTCTTCAAAATGAGAAGCTGGTTGTGTTGCTCACAATGTAAAATTCTCCCATGGTCCCCATCACCTTTGGGTGAGGCTCGTGCACAGCAGCATGGCACCCGTGGTCCGTTGGGAGCTGGACCCTTGCTGACCCTTTTTTTTTCTTTTTTTTTTTTTTTTTT